TCATTCGCACCAAAAAAAAAAAACACATTTTAGATTATGTTATATAGTAGCAGTAGGCACTAGGCAGTGGGGTCGGCTGAGGGCACGAAGAACCATAAAACATGAACTGGAATTTAACCACCAAACCAAAATACAGCTCACTGATTTACGTACATGCGATGCAACAAGGCAACAACTTGGAATTGCAGCATCTGCGGAGCACAAACCACGCGCACGCCGCATCAACTGCAAGTCACACTTTCAACTGCCAGTGCACGATGAATAGGCCGTTGATCGTCGCAAAAAAAATGTATTCCCCATACAATTGACAGCCCCATAGATTGATGTTTTTGGGTTGACTTACTTCTAATTATTAATATTAAGTTTTTTTTTTAAAAATATTGATTGAGAATATTTTTTATTATAAATTTATATAATGATTAATATTAAATTTAAAAATATTATTATAAAAAAATTTATTTAATCAATTAATAAATTAAATATTAATAATTAATTTTTAGTATTCTTAATTTATATTTTGATGATGCAAATTAAAAAAATATTTAATACTAAGATTTATAAATAACATGAGCAGACTCTTGTGGGGGAAGGCGCCACTAGACAAGTGCTTAGAAGACAATTCCGTTGGTCATGTGACATCTGCGCAACCAAAATATAAATTTCCTTAGATTTAGGCATCCTAATATTTTCCGCGTTGAAAATTCTTGGTCAGCCTTTCACTTCACTGATTATGAGAGTATTAATCCCTCAACTTATAATATGAAAGTTTTAATCCTTCACTTTATTGATTATGAGAATATCAACCCCTCAACTTATAAAATGAAAATTTTAATCTCTCATCCTTTTAATTTAAATGAAAAGGCCTTAAAATGAATGACAATATCATGTGCTCGTTAAATTCCGTTATTTATTGCCATGCCAACACCAACGTGGAAATTCCTTACCATTATGTCAGGGACATAGTTCTCTGTTTTTATTAGATTTGATAAAATTGGACTCAATCCAAAAATTTGACCCAATCCACTCATTATGAGTAAAGTCATGGATTTAAATCTCTAAGATGTCAATTTAGAATTAGATATAATTCAGACCAAAATTACTTGAACCCAACTAAGTTGGGTTAGAGTTGAGTCATACTAATTCAAAGTAATTCGACTAAAGTTAATTTTTTTTTTGAAATTTAAAATTTTAATTAATTATGCTTTTAATTTTAATTTTTAAGTATAAAATGAAATTAAATACTATGAAATGATTATTATTTATTAGATTATTAGTATTGATATTAATTAAAAAGATTTTTGACTAAATAATTAATTAATATTAAAATTTTTTAAAGAAAA